TTGGGAGCTCTTCCCTTCTCCCTTCCTCCCTGCCTCGCATCCGTGCAGTGGGTCAGAGCTGGCAGCCGTGGCTGGGGGGGCAGGAGGAGCTCCAGCCACCATCTCTTCTCATAGCTCACCTGGTTTTCAACCTGACTGGTTGGGGGTTGACACCTTGGAGAGAGAGAGAGAGAGAGGGAGCGGGGTGCAAGCGGTGGGACCCGCGGCATCCCTCGGGAGAGGAGTCCCCAGCGTGCAGGCAGGGCCATCTTCCCACTTGTACAGACATTTTCTATAGACACGGATGTATATGTGTAGATAACATGGTTTTTTAACTCTTTTGCACTGAACAACATCGGAGTGAAACCTGGATTCGAAACCAGAAGACGCATTTTTCACGTGGGTCCAGAGGTCTGGATCCCTTCCTGTAACCTGTCTGGTGAAACTGTGGCTCGGAATTCCTGGTGATCCCACACCTTTTCTCTGTCGGGCTGCCCGCAGGCGTTGGGTCAGGCTGGTGCCATGGGGCTGGTGTGGGAGTGTGGAGGGCGGAGAGCTCCATTTTGGAGGCAAAACTTTTCCCATGTGCTCCGTGGGATGGGCTCACGCACAGCCCTGACCCTCTTGGCTTTGTCCTGTGTCTGATCCAGTTGTGTGGTCCGACCTCCTCTCCATCCACCCACAACGTGTCCTTGCTCAGCCCCAAACTGGGAATAAGGCTACATCCAGTGTGACAATCCATGCTCCCAGACCCAGAGCCCAGACCAGGAGAACTGTCTTTCCTAAGGAAGGGGGAGGAAGGTGGGGTTCATCCCTAGTTCAGTGGGATTCATCCCTGCTTTTCTGTGAGGAACAGGAGGAATTGGGGTTTGTTGCTGTTGCCCGTATCTCCAGAAGAGTCAGTGGTGGAATTATCCAAGCCCAAGGGTCAAAACAGCTGCCAGGCTTTGAGGAGGGCTCAGGGGGGCCGGGGTTGGACCCCCACCAGCAGCAAAGAGTCTTTTACCTGCCAAAAATGTTCCCTTTCCCCATTGGGAGGAGAAACATTTGGCCAAGAAGCGCCTGTGCTCCTTCCCCTGCCCACACTTAACAAGTTCTGCTGACTTTAGTTTTGTTTTTTAAAAGATTCTAATTTTTTTTTTTTTTTTGGTTACCCATAAAAATAAAAATTTAAAAAAAAAAAAAAAGATAAATAAAAAAGAAAGTGGCAATATTTTTTTCCGTAAGCTTTTCCTAGGAAAAAGCGTGGTTTGTAACAAAGTTGTACAGTTCTGAAGTTTGAGATACGAGAAGTACTGTGTGAAACGCTGTAAATGGGGCAGAGATTATTTTATGTACAGTCTGACGTGGGGGAATCTTTTAATTCTGGTTGATTCTTAGGAAGAATTTGGTTCTTCACTGTCAGGGTTTGGAATTTCATGGTTTCATTATTATTTTTTTTTCTTGTATAGATTGCTGCATTAATTGAATAAAAGCAGAAAGCATTGCTCTGCCTGCCTGTGTGGTGGTGCCGTGGGCTGGGATGTGCCTTGATTTCCCCAGGCAGAAAAGAGGTGGTTGGGAATGGGGAACTGGTTCTAAATAAAGGGAGTCACCGGCTCCCTGGGGATGGGGCAGCCAAATGTGGTGGCTGTGCCTCCTGAGCTGTCCTAGAAAGCAGGGACAGGGCTCTCTGCCCTCCTCTTCCTCCTCCTGCAGCTCCCACCCTGCCCACAGCTGGAGCCTGGATCCAGATGGGCCCAACACCCTCTGCTTCGGCCTCATGTGGAGCCCCTCACCCTCCTTGTGCCTTCCTCCTGCTGGAGTGAGATGGTGAGATGGGGGTGAGGTGCCAGAGGGGATGGAAGGGGGCTGCTGGCCTCATGTGTGGCCTCCATTCTCCCTCCTCTCTTCCTCCTCTCCTGTTTGTCTTCTCTTCCTTCTCTCCTGTTCCTCCTCTCTTCTCTCCTCCTTTTCCTCCTCTCCCTCCTCTCCTCTTGCTTTCACTCTCCTCTTCCTCTCTTCTCTTTCTCTCCTCTTCCCCCTCTTCCTCCCACCTTCTCTCCCTCTCCCCTCTGTTCCCTTTCTCCTCCTCTCCCTCCTCCCCAGCCATGACCCACATCTGGCTCCCTCCTCTCCACCCTCACTGCCCGGGGCTGTGCCTGTGGCTCAGACCCTCCATCCCTCCGTGAGCCCGTCGCTCCCCGCTCCCCCTCCAGGCTGTTTTCCGCCCCCAAACCCCGCGTCGCCCCAGAGCCGCATCTCCCCGGGCCGGGGTTAGTCAGCAGGGAGGGGAAGCCGTGCCCTGCCCGGGGTGAGTCACCCCAAAACCGGGCGCAGGGCAGGTCGCTCCCCCTCCCACCTCAGGACGGTGCCGTGGGGGGAGTGGGGAACAGCATTCCCGGTGCCACGGTGGGAATAATGAGTCGCCAGCCAGGAATGAGGCTCGAACGTTAATTTTGGGAGCCGGCGGGATGCTCCAGGCCCTGTGGCCGGGGCGCCGCCATGTTGATGCACCCCATGGCTGTGGGGCACACGGTGAGAACCAAAAACCACGACACCCCGAGTTCGTGGGGGCTTTGTGACCACGGTGACCGGGCTCGCGGTGCCCTCGCTGCCCCATGCGGAGAGAAAAAGACGAAAGAAAAAGCTAAAACAAATAAATATATAAATAAACAAAGCGCAGAGAGGGAGCGGAGCGGGGGGGGTGATAGTGGGGACTACAAACCCCATCGTGCCCCACGGTGGCGCATGCGCGGTGGATGGTGGGCGGGGCCGCGGCGCGCGGCGCGCGTTGCCGCGCGGGGATTGGCGGGCGCAGCTGTCCGTCAATGCC